TGGCCTGGAGAATTTTGAGCATTACTTTACTAGCGTGTGAGATGAGTGCAATTGTGCGGTAGTTTGAGCATTCTTTGGCATTGCCTTTCTTTGGGATTGGAATGAAAACTGACCTTTTCCAGTCCTGTGGCCACTGCTGAGTTTTCCAAATTTGCTGGCATATTGAGTGCAGCACTTTAACAGCATCACCTTTCAGGATTTGAAATAGCTTAACTGGAATTCCATCATCTCCACTAGCTTTGTTCGTAGTGATGCTTCCTAAGGCCCACTTGACTTCACATTCCACGATGTCTGGCTCTAGGTGAGTGATCACACCATTGTGAATATCTGGGTCATGAAGATCTTTTTTGTACAGTTCTTCTGTATATTCTTGCCACCTCTTCTTAATATCTTCTGCTTCTGTTAAGTCCATACCATTTCTGTCCTTTACCGAATCCATCTTTGCATGAAGCGCTCCCTTGGTATCTCTAATTTTCTTGACACAGTCAGGTTCAAAACAGAGATCTCCTGTCTCTACTTTAATCAGACAGGAGGTACTTATGTCCTCAGTCACTCAGTTGTGTCTGACTTTTTTGTGACCCTATGGACTGTAGCTTACCAGGATCCTCTATCCATGAAATTTTCCAGGCAAGCATACTGGAGTGGGTTACCATTTCCTTTTCCAGGAGATCTTCCAGACCCAGGAATTGAACCCATATCTCCTACACTGCAGGCGGATTCTTTACCGCTGAGCCACTGGGGAAGCCCAGAACAGGAAATAAAACCACCCCAAATCTATGCCTTGTTATGATAAAGAAGAAACTGCAATTCTTCTTTTTCTTTCTCCACCCCCCTCAACTTTGCATATTGCAAAGATTTTCTGTGTCCTTGAAAGGAAATCACATCATGGAGAAGAATCTCAAGGGCAGGTTCATGAAGTTAGTTTTAAATCTGTTGAGTTTAGAAAACTAGGAATAAAGGGGGGAACTTGCTCACTTAGTAAGAACATGTACAAAAAACCTACAGCTTACCTCGTACTTAATTGTGAAAGACTGAATGCTTTCCCTAAGGTCAGGAACAAGCAAATATAAAGATTTATGCTGGGTCCCTGGTGGTTCAGTGGTTAAGAGTCTGCCTTGCAATGCAGGGGACATGGGTTCAATCCCTGGTCAGGGAACTAAGACCACACATGCTATGGAGCAACTAAGCCCATGCTGCAACTAGAGAGTCCGTGCATTGCAACGGAAGATCCTGCATGATGAAACAAAGATCCTGCATGCTGACACTAAGACCCAATGCAGCCAAATAAATAAACAAATATAAAAAACGATTTATGCCACTCTTATTCAACAGAGTCCTGGAAGTGCTAACCAGAGAAATAAAGCAAGGAAAAGGAAATGAAAGGCATTCAGATATTCTTTTCTGAAAGGAGAAATAAAACTAATCTTACTGTAGATGACACGATTGTTTATGTATAAAATCCCAAGAAACCTACAAAAACCCTTATATAGAAAGTTCAGTTAAGGTTGCAAGAAACTAAGGAGCATACAAAGATCAACTGTATTTCCGTATACTGTCAATGAACATGTAAAAATAAAAAATGAACAAAATAAAAAATATAATACCAATTCTATTGTGTGAGTGTGGGTGTGTGTGTTCGTTAAGTCGCTTCAGTCATGTCTGCCTCTTTGTAACCCTATGGACTGCAGCCCACCAGACTCCTCTGTCCATGGGATTCTCCAGGCAAGAATACTAGAGTGGGTTGCCATGCTCTCCTCCAGGGGATCTTTCCCTATCCAGGGATCAAACTCGAGTGTCTTGCGTCTCCTGCATTGGCAGGTGGGTTCTTTACCACTAGTGCCACCTGGGAAGCCCATATACCATTTACAATCACTCAAAAGAAAAAAGAGAGAGAGAGAGAATTACTGAAGTGTAAATCTAACAAAACATGTACAGAACTTGTATGCTAAAAATTACAAAACACTCATGAGAGACATCAAAGACCACCTGAATCAATGAAGAAATATACCATGTTCATGAATTGAGAGACAATGTAGTAGAATATCAATTATTCTCACATTGAATGAAGGACTAAACGCAATTCCAAGCAAAATTACAGCATGATATTTTGTATATACAGACAGCTTACATTAAAATGTAAATGAAAAGGCAAAGGAACTAGAACAGGTTAGAAAATTTAAAGAATAATAAAATGGGAGGAGTCACTCTACCTGATTTAAGACTCACACAGTGATAGCAATCAAGGCTGTGACATAAAGGTGGAGGGACTGCCTCACAGATCCATGAAACGTACTAGGGAACTCAGAAACAGTCCCCATAGGAGTATGGCCAGATTGTTTTTGACAAATTTGCAAAAGCAATTCAATAGAGAAAGGATAGTCTTTTTAACAAATGGTTCTGGAACAATTCAATGTCCACATGCAATAAAAGTGAACACTGACCTAAATCTCACATCATAAACAAAAGTGAATCCAAAACAGTTCACAGATTTAAACATAAAACTATAAAGCACTTCAAAGAAAACATAAGAGAAAATCCTCAGGATCAAGGACTTGGTGGCATGTTCTTACAGATGATACTAAGAGCATGATCTATGAAAGAAAAAAATAATGACCTGGACTTCATCAAAAGTTAAAATTTTTGTTCTGTGAAGTATCCTGCTAAGAAAATGAAAAGACAAGCTAAGGATGGGAGAAAATATTTGCAAACCATCTATCTGATGAGGGACTCATACCTAAAATACATAAAGAATTCTCAAGACTTAATGGTGAAAAAACAATTGGATTAGAAATGGTTAAAAGACATAAAGAGATATTTCACCAAAGAGGGTATGAAAAAGGCAAATAAGTACACGAAAAGACATTTAACATCACTATCGATTTGGGAAACGCAAATTAAGACTATGATAAGATACCACTACACACTTACTAAAACAGCTAAAATAAAAAACAGTGTTAATACTAACTGCTGGTGGGGATGCAGAGAACCCTGTCTCATACACTGCTGGTGGGACTAAAAAATGGTGCAACCACCCTGGATAAGATTCTGGCAGTTTTTCCACAAGCTGAATATATATTAACATATATGTTGATCCATGCAATCATACTCCTAAGCATTCATCTCAGAGAAATAAAACTTATGTTCACAGAAAAACCTGTTCATAAATGTTCATAGTAGATTTATTCATAACAGCCCCTAATGGAATCACAATGTTCTTCAATAAGTGAATGGTTAAACATAGGTGGTACATCCATAACATGGGCTATTACTCAGCAATAAAAGAACAAACTAATAACCTAGATCGATGTCAAAATCATTACACTGAGTTAAAAAAAAATCAATGGCAAAGGTCATGGACATTAAGATTCCATTTATGTAACATTCTCAAAATGATGAAAATTATAGAGATATAGAACAGATTAGTGGTTGCCGCGACTTGGGGATAGTGGTGGGGGAAAGTATTGTGAACATAGAAGGAATATCATGGGACTTTCCTGGTGGTCCAATAGTGAGACTCCGAGCTGGCAAAGCAGGGGGCCTGGGTTCAACCCCTGGTCAGGGAACTAGATCTCACATGCTGCCAAGACCCAGTGCAGCTAAGTAAATATATACATTAAAAAAAAAAGAAGAATATCACAAGGGAGATCTTTGGTGATGGAATACTCTATACCTTGGTGTGTGTGTGTGTTCAGTAGTTTAGTCACGTCCCACTCGTTACAACCCAACAGACTATAGCCCACCAGGCTCCTCTGTCCATGGGATTTTCCAGGCAATAATACTGGAGCAGGTTGCCATTTCCTCCTCTAGGGGATCTTGCCAACCCAGGGATCAAACCTGCATCTCCTGCATTGGCAGGCAGATTTTTTACCACTTGAGCTACCTGGGAAGTCAGTTCTATATCTTGGCGGCTACACACAAAGTCATACATGTGATAAAATGAGACAGAACTACATACACACTTTGTACCATTCTCTCTCTACTGTTTGTGAATCTGCCATTTCAAAATGAAAAGCCTTTTAACAATCTGTTGAGTGAAGTCTGAAAAAGACCTGCCTTTTATAGTCATAAATTCCACTGCATTTTCCTTTCAATATTTTAACCCTTTTCAATATTTTAAAAGGCTCAAAGCTACTGTTTGTTTGTGTGTGTGTGTGTGTGTGTGTGTGTGTGCGCGCGTAGCAGAGTTTTATTAAAGTGAAAAATGACGGAGAAAGCTTTCGACACAGATATCAGAAGGGGGACGGAGAGTGCTCCCAAAGCCACTGTTTTGACTAACTTCGTACTTTCTTCCGACTTCTTTGGCTGTCATCAAGCTGGGACTGTGGACCAAGCCACAGCTAACACAGAGAGTGAAATGAAATGAGAGGATACCATGGCTATGCCCAAGGATTACCCTGATTTACTACTTGGAGGTGGGGGTGGGGGAGGGCTCCGAGGGACCCACAACAGTCTCCAGAAGCTCTGAGAAGGGCAAGAGGCTATTTGTCAAGCTGGGCACTTCAGGTGGCACTGGCTGCCAGACCTGGAGCAGGTGAAGGTCAAGCACTAGCTCCATGTCCACCTTCTAAACGGTCCCATCAGGCAGCGGGGGAGGGGATCCTGGGTGGGACATCGCAGAACAGACACGGTCAGCAAAGGACAGAAGGCGCATCTCTGCATCCTGCTCATTCTTACCACGTGTGCCAAGGAGCTCCAGCACATCTGACAACTGGTTATTGGTAGCACACTGAAGATGAGGCGGTTAGATAGCACCATGGACTCAATGGACATGAACCTGAGCAAACTTTGGGAGATGATGAAGGACAGGGAAGCCTGGCGTGCTACAGTCCATGGGGTCGCAAAGAGTTGGACACGACTGAGCGACTAAACAACAACAAAGCACATGGAGGAAGGCAGTGGCTGTTAGCCAGAGGCTGTGTTTCAGAAGAGATCGGAGTCCACAGGGGATGGGGCTTCTGCAGGGTTGGGAGGGGTGGGGACCGGGCAGGAAGAGATCTTACCTCTAAAACAAGGTCTGAGTCTTCATGCCTTCCAATCGTAGTACTTTTATTCAAGACAAAAAAGCCTTCCGCGCTCTTTAGATAGGCTTTCATACTCTCTGCTTTCCCTAGAAAAGGTTTGCGGAAACAAATCTGGTTAGAAAAAGTCCTTTAATTATTGAATATCATATTTAGAATGAATGAAATATACCATAATGTCACAAAAGGAAAATCAGCAGAGGTAGGAGTGGATAGATGGATTTAACAATGACCATACTTACAATTCTTCACATTTTTAAGACTATCTTTAACACTGATATCTGTCATAGATAAGCTTGGTTCTGATTATCAGAGGATACCCTTTATGTAACCAGAGCACAAACAAACAATAGCAAAAACAACCCAACAACAAATCTGAAGTCCACTGATAATCACTCTCCAACTCCCACTAAGCTTAGTTTGAGGTTAGATATTTGCCATAATCAAGTACTAAGAATTACTGACCTACCACTTACTAGTTCTGTGACTCTGGTTGAATTATTCTCTCTGTAAACCTCAGTTTTTTCATCTGTAAAATGGGGCTAGTAATACTCTGTATCCCAAAGGGTTTTGTGAGGATTGAATGCAGTGATGCATGTGAAGCATCTAAAATGGTGTTTGCTAAACACACTTTGCTCCTACTGTGATTATTACTATTACTAATCTTGGGTTTCATGAACTTTGACTCAAGGAACCCCAACCTTCTAAAAAGCTTTCTAAAGTGCAGAAGAGTAAATCATCAAGGAAATGGGCATTAGATGATACTTTCTTTTAAGTCACTGTATTCTGTTATATATTTAGGTAGAAAAACAGAATGATTTCCAAAGACAAAGTATTAAGATTATAGCTTAGTCAGGACTCTGTACCTACTTTTTCCTGGTGTTTTAATTATGAAAATGTGAAATACACAGAAAAGTTGAAAGAAGTAGATGGTGAACTCCTATATAACCACAACCCAGATTCCACAATTGACCTTTTACTATATTTACTTTATCACATATCTACCCATGTATCCTTCCACCCATTTTATATTTCAATGCGGTTCAAAGTAAGTCCTGTATGTGTGTTTTGGTTGTATAGGTTGTTCCCTGGTTGCTCAGGCAGTAAAGGATCCACCTACAATGTGGGAGACCTGGGTTCGATCCCTGGGCTGGGAAGATCCCCTGGAGGAGAGCATGGCAACCCACTTCAGTATTCCTGCCTTCGGCAGGTTTCAAGATGTTGATGATAATTCACGTGACACAATACTTGAATTCCAATCTGAGAGATGTCCGGCTACACAGTGTGACATCCTCCATCTTAACATCTTGTTAAGAAAGTCTCTTTTCAACTGAAAGGCCACTGAAGTGTGAAATAGTTGTACTGTGGATAAAAACAAAAGTCATTTAAAGGCTTTCATGGTTGTCCAAGATCCTGAATGCCACAATGAGGATCGAAGAACCCATGTGCCACAACTAAGACCGGATGTAGCCAAATAAGTAAAGATTTTTTAAAAAGAAAAAAGAAAAAACATACTATTAAAAACAAAACAAAAAAACAAATGAAAACAAAAAACAAACAAATGAAAACAAAAGTCATCTGTGTGTGACTGTAACAAGTCTCTGGTCTGGTTCTGTTTTCCATCAACATCTCCACCATTTCATCCAAGTGTGAGGATGAACCCCTACTAAGTGTGAGGCACTGGGCTATCCTTTTACAGACATTGCCTCTTTTCATTCTCAAAACAACCCTGCAAGGTAGGTGTCAGTATTATCCCACTTTACAGAAGAGGAAACTGTGACTCAGAGAGGTTAAGGTCATACAATAGTGTGTGACAACTCTGGACCTTAGTCTATAACCACTGCACAAATCTCCAGTGTTGCTGGTGGGGCAGAGTGGGGTGGGGGAATTGCACGATCTGTTGATGCTTGGGACGTGAAACAACAGAAAGTCTTTAAAACCAGCATTCTATATGCTGAAAGGAAGATGAGACCCTACCTGGGGATAAGAGAAATAAAAATAAGCAGGGTAAGAGATAAATCCACGAACCTATGGTCACCTTATCTTTGACAAAGGAGGCAAGGATATACAATGGAAAAAAGACCACCTCTTTAACAAGTGGTGCTGGGAAAACTGGTCAACCACCTGTAAAAGAATGAAACTAGAACACTTTCTAACACCATACACAAAAATAAACTCAAGATGGATTAAAGATCTAAATGTAAAGACCAGAAACTATAAAACTCCTAGAGGAGAACATAGGCAAAACACTCTCTGACATAAATCACAGCAGGATCCTCTATGACCCACATCCCAGAATTTTAGAAATAAAAGCAAAAATAAACAAATGGGACCTAATGAAACTTAAAAGCTTTTGCACAACAAAGGAAACTATAAGCAAGGTGAAAAGACAGCCCTCAGATTGGGAGAAAATAATAGCAAACGAAGCAACAGACAAAGGATTAATCTCAAAAATATACAAGCAACTCCTCCAGCTCAACTCTAGAAAAATAAATGACCCAATCAAAAAATGGGCCAAAGAACTGAACAGACATTTCTCCAAGGAAGACATACAGATGGCTAACAAACACATGAAAAGATGCTCAACATCACTCATTATCAGAGAAATGCAAATCAAAACCACAATGAGGTACCATTACACACCAGTCAGGATGGCTGCTATCCAAAAGTCTACAAGCAATAAATGCTGGAGAGGGTGTGGAGAAAAGGGAACCCTCTTACACTGTTGGTGGGAATGCAAATTAGTACAGCCACTATGGAAAACAGTGTGGAGATTTCTTAAAAAGCTGGAAATAGAACTGCCATATGACCCAGCAATCCCACTTCTGGGCATACACACCGAGGAAACCAGATCTGAAAAAGACATGTGTACCCCAATGTTCATCGCAGCACTGTTTATAATAGCCAGGACATGGAAGCAACCTAGATGCCCATCAGCAGACGAATGGATGAGGAAGCTGTGGTACATATACACCATGGAATATTACTCAGCCATTAAAAAGAATTCATTTGAATCAGTTCTAATGAGATGGATGAAACTGGAGCCCATTATACAGAGCGAAGTAAGCCAGAAAGATAAAGACCATTACAGTATACTAACACATATATATGGAATTTAGAAAGATGGTAACGATAACCCTATGTGCAAAACAGAAAAAGAGACTCCTATGTATAGAACAGACTTGTGGACTCTGGGAGAAGGCGAGGGTGGGATGTTTCAAGAGAACAGCATTGAAACACGTATATTATCTAGGGTGAAACAGTTCACCAGCCCAGGTTGGGTGCATGAGACAAGTGCTTGGGCCTGGTGCACTGGGAAGACCCAGAGGGATTGGGTGGAGAGGGAGGTGGGAGGGGGGACCGGGATGGGGAATACATGTAAAAAAAAAAAAAAAAGATACACTATGGTTGTGATATAAATAAATAAATAAATTAATTAATTAAAAAAATAAGCAGGGTAGTTTATATCTGTAAACTCTGAGACCTGTGAATATCCCACTAATACTGATGTTTCCATATAATGAGAAATAAAATTTATTAAGTTCACTGTCATGAACACAGGGGAAAGACATTTCCTCTTTCCAAACAACCATGCTCTATTGCCTTCAGTTATTAATCTTCATTGGCAGAGCACCATGTTATCTAGCAATTAATCTAAAAAGTAAACTTTCAAGAAATGTCTCTGTTGTAGGAAAACCACAGGACAGGCCACTAGTTTAAAACTTAAAACTTGGGTCATGTATATATTTGTTTGTCAGCTGTCACCTGAGACGACCCCAAAGCTGATGTCTTCTCTCTGCTTAGATGCCCCCCTTTGGGGCAACCTCCTGATCACCGTGGCTAAAGTTGCCCTCAGTCATGTTATTCCCCTGTTAGTTTTCCCCTGCTGGGTTTCCTTCCTCTTACTTATCATTCTCCGACCTTTTCTTATTCCTTTATTTAGTTGTGTTTGCTGTCTGTTTCTCTTTCATTTGCTAAGCTATATATTCCTGGAAAACCAGAACTGTGTTGATTTTGTCTTCGGTTTTGGGCCATACTGTGTGGCATGCGGGATCTCAGTTTCTGGACCAGGGGCTGAGCCCTCTCACCCCCTGCATTGGGAACGTGGAATTAACTACTGGACCGCCACAGAAGTCCCTTGATTTTGTTAAGAAGCAATTCTTCATGGGTTTCTAGTGCTCATACCCATCTTCAGAGCAAAGGCACTGAAAGATTTTGTCCTGCACCATCCTTCCAAGGATGCTTATATGGCAAACAGCCTGGAGGATAAAGGTAATGCTTATAATAAAGACAATAGCTCCTTCTGAGGCTAAAGTCAGGCAGGTTTCCTAGCAGCCCCTTTCAAAGACTGAGATTTCCTAAGTTTGGAGTTTCTTATCTGGGACACAGACTCACTGCATGTACAACAGCCACCCTGGCTGTTCTTCACCACCCCGAGGGACTTTCAGGGCAACAGGCATCCCTGTGCATAAGTAGCTCTGGCTGCCGGTTGTGTCTGCTGTGTTGTGAGCGGTAAAGTTCTTAGTTTCTGGCCCAGGAGTCTTGTCTTCTGCCAGTACCTACAAGCCGGGCAGGCTAACTTTCAAACAGAGTAAAACCTCACACCCTTTGCAGTTGTTCTGTGCAGGGCATCATCTCCAGTGCCAGGGCAGTGCCTGGCACACAGAGGTACTTGGGCAACACTTGCAGACTGAGTGAAAATAAAAATGACACCTCCAAGCAAGCCAGTGTGGCCAGGGGATAGGAATCTCTGACAGTAACTACCTTTCATTTTTCCTTTCAGCATCTATCCTAGATAACTTCTTGGAGTTATCCTAGATAACTTTTGGAGAATCTAAATTCTATCTCTAGCTTTTGGACTGGACAAGATTTCTCCACCTTAATCTTGCCCCGTGCATCACTTCTTTGTCTGAAAACACGGCAGAAAGTAATTTGAATGTGTTTAGCTCTGTGAATTCATTCTCACTCAGGGCCATGGAGCACCCACTACAATAAAGAGCAAAAGAGCTAAAATCATCTGCATTCCTCCTGACCACTCTGGATGGCTCAGAATTGGGCTATAGGAGCAAAACTTC